CCCCTGGGGGGTGATTTCTCGCTTTCTGTCTCTATGTCTCTCTCTGTATGTCTGGCGAGCGCACGCGCCCTACAGTGAAAATCTCTAAAAAAAAAAAAAAAAAAAAAAATCTTTGAAGACTTGTTTTTAATTGCCAGAGGGCATGTGCACTGGCCACAAGGAGAGACAGTGAAACAAAACCCTCCCCGATGGGCTTGCTCAAACCTACTCGGTTTTTGCTTCCTTTATTGCCCTAGTCAGGGTTTGGGGTACCTACAGACACACATTTGAGGTGCTTTTCAAGCTGTCTGAGCAGAACTTGTCATTGGCTTCTTATGGTCAGGCCTTAAGCACTGAGCTAAGAGGTGTCCCCAATGTTTCGTGACATTTTTGCAACACCAGTGACCTGACACCACCCAGGAGCGATACTATGGTGGAAAAACTGGGAAAAACGTGCCAAGCGCTGGCTGGAGGAAAGAACACAGCCAACTCACAGGCACTGCTGGGTTCCAGGCAGCAACAGCATCACTTCCCGGGAGTTGTCACAGGTACAGACACAGGCGCCAGGACTTCGGGGAGACATCTCGAGGCTGGTCTGCGAGCACTTCCGGGAAGTAGTCACGGGCACAGGCGCCAGGACTTCTGGGAGCCCTCTGCGCGCTTCGGCGAGCAATTGCAGGCGGCAGCACGTGGTGGCGCAGTTGGCTCCCCACCCTCCTCGGCCACCATAGTGTTGGACGGTTGGCGGGACCCTTCATAGGCCTGTGCAATGGCGTCCCGTTACGACAGGGCCATCACGGTCTTCTCCCCAGATGGACACCTTTTCCAAGTGGAATATGCCCAGGAAGCGGTCAAGAAAGGATCCACTGCGGTGAGCGAGCACTTTCAGAGCATGGCTCCCACTTCCTTCTCACTTCATGCCTTCCATACCGTTCTACCGTAGCCTACTCCGGTGTAGGGGTTGCAAGTGGAGCATGTCCCACTTGTGGAAGTATTTTATCCCTGTTCTTGGGGGAGATCCTGCTTCTGAGATTTGAACTGGAAGCGGCAGAGTAAAAGTGGGTACATTTCATGGGTTTCTGTTGTGAAAATGCCTCTGGCGATAGTACACACACAGAAGTAGGGCGTAGGGGATTATGCTGTAGCCTTGACTCTAGAAGAGAGATTATTACTGTGGCTGACAAAATCCCAAGAAACTCAGCTCTTCTACCACTTTTTTCATTTGTTTTTAAACAATACTTGAAGTTCCTTGAGAGATTATTCCCTAGGTTAGACTTATGTATCCCCATTCCTGGAAAACTTTTAAATATTCAGGGTAGTAGTAAGACTGAAGCCAAATTTTAACTACATTTAATAATCTCAGTGATTTATAAAATTAAAAATGACGAAAGTACCCTAGGGACCAAAGATCTATTTCCCCGTATCTTCCAACTTATACCCTACTCTTCGAAAAGATCCAGTTTTTTTAAAGAATATGTCAAATTTCATGAGTATGTTTGTGGGTTTCTTTTTGGAAATTGAGGTAGCTATGAGAATATGCACATTTCTAAGTCAGATACTGTTGGCATTTTGTCTTGCTCTTCATCCCAACTCGGTTATGGAAGGAAATAATTCACTTTAATTATAAATCTAGCACATGTAAAGTGGTTTAAAAAAAAAAGGAAAAACTAGAAATTAACATTAGAAAGATGAATAATGTTTCAAGGGGTTTTTTTCCTTAAATGGGCCCACTTTTTTTTTTACATATTTTATATGTATTTTTTTTTAATTTTAGAATTGTAAATTTAAGGAAAACCTGATGTAGCTTAAACCAAAAGGGTACCATTTTGATAAAAACAAAAAGTTATATAATCCCCAGCAAGGCATGTAGCATATGGTTAGAAAATAATGCCCAAGTTTTAAAGCCTAAAATAAGGGGAGTAATGGGAGAAGACTAGGGTGTAATAAGAAACCACATTGGCTCATTTAAAATGTTTTAAGAATGCTATAGAACTGATTGATAGTTCCTTTGTAATGAGCTGTAAAAGGGTAAGGATATAAAAATACCTATAGTGGGCATTTTTAAAGATACATTGGAAGGATGAGACACTTTTGTCTCAGGATTCTGAAGTTATAATTTGCATCTTTGTATGGAGTGAGTCATTGTATTTCCTTGAGGGTGCTATGACCTTTTACATGGGGTAAAGTTTATAATGGAATGTGTTTATTAAAATATGTCACAAATATTCTGTCTATAAACAACAGTTGATTATGAGTTTTAAATGAGCCAGGGTTGGCCAGTTTTTGACTAGTGTGTGGATACAGTATTTTTAGTAATATAAAATTCATATGGGCAATAATTAGAGATCTTGGATTCTATACTTCCTTCTTGATGACTGTCTTACAGCATGAGCTAAGACAAGAGGCTTGTTTTCTTTTTGCTTTAGTTCCCTTTTCTGTAAATGGAAAACATGTTTGAATAATATTTTGGAGAGGTAATATCTTTCTTCTTAGGGGAAAAAAATGAATCCTTTACAATACTCTCATGATAAAGATAAGATTTATTAGAATTCCTCATTCTGTCCTTTTCCTGACCCCAAAGTGTTATTATCTCCATATTTCCTAGTTTGTCAAAGCTAAGCTCTACAGTCTGGCCATCAAAGTCTAACATAACCCTTAAATTAAGGGGGTGACTTCTTGTTTTCACTAGTATGTGTTTATGCCCATGTAGGGAAGAGAGGGAGGAAGATACCTTTTTTTTTTTTTTTTTGGCATCTCTAAGTCTTATCCTTTGAGAATCTCCATACACTTTCTCCTCCTTCACAAAGCCTTTCTAATCCACTCCAGTCTTCATAGATCATTTTCTTCTTCTGAATTTGTAATCTATACCACAGAGTATTGTACAATGTTTATTATTTGGCCTCATATTGTCTTTAATTTGAGGAATATTTAATGATCTCTCACCAACAAGGTAGCAATATCTTTGAGTATCTAGAAGGCATAATTCCTTTTTTTTGTATTTTTTATCACACAATATACAGTGGAGGCACTAGGAAGGAATTTGCTAATATATAAGGAAGACTTTGTACCAGGTATTTCATGTACATTATGTACATTAAGACAGTATTTAATCCCTTTTTAAACAAAAATTTGTGGAAACCGTGATTGGGAAGTTTCATAGTTTGCCATAGGTACCCACCTAGAAAACAATAGAGTCCACATTCATACTTAAGTTTTTCTAGTTCCAAAGCCTCTATTCTTCCTGTCGTACCTGCAGTTTGTCCAATATATATTTGTATATTAGTTAGTTAGTGCTATCATTAATGTGGAAACCAGGTAAGTATTATTTAAGGCAATTAAGTTTCCTAAACTTCCGTTTCTTTAGTAATAAAATAAGCATCAAAATAGGACCTGCTTTGGGACCAGCAATTGGCGTAATGGCTATGTTGCTGAACTACCATGTAGTGGAACTTGGCTCGAGTCCTGGACCCAGTGGCTTAAACTCACACCCGGCACATGTGCATGCATGCCCAAGATCCCGAGAGGAAAATGGAGGAGAAGGGATTGTGGCATGGCCATCCCCCCAGGGGGTGATTTCTTGCTTTCTGTCTCTCTGTCTCTCTCTGACTTTCTGGCAAGTGCACATGCCCTGTAGCGAAAACCTCTCCAAAAAAAAAGACCTGCTTTATATATAGGGTTGGTGTGAGATTAAATTAGGTGATAATATATGTTAAGCATCTTGCACAGTATCTAGTTGCATAAAAGTACCTTTAAATGACTTCTAATGATCTTGACCTTTTGGTGTCTAGATCCTCATGTAATTTTTTTTTAGGTGTAGGCTGAATCTAGTGACTTGCTTTTATGGAATGAATAGGCAGGGACTAGCAGGTGGCATAATGGACTCCCACGTAGTCAACCACAGTTTGAGTTCCGGACTTGGCAGCTTAAAACTCACACCGGGTGTATGTGCATGCGTGCCCAAAGTCCTGAGAGGAGAATGAAGGAGAACGGACTATGGCGTGGCCATCTACTCTGCAGGGGTGATTTCTCACTTTCTGTTTCTCTGTCTCTCCAGTGAGCGCACAGGCCCTGTAGCAAAAATCTCTCTCTACAAAAAAGGGATGACTAAGCAAAAATCATTAGGATATCACTTTGTTTTTTGTTACCAGAGGGCCCAAGCACCAACAGAGAAGGCATCCCCCAAGAGACATAGTCATGCCACAATCCTTTTTCCTTCATTTCTCCTTCTCATCATGATTTTGGGGATCACACACAAGTGTTTTTAAAACACCAGGGCTCAGATTCAAACTACAGTTCATCCATGTGGGATCTAGACCTTTTAACAACTGAGTTATAGGGCCAGCCCCAGAGAGAAAGTATTTTTTCTTTGAAATTTTTATTGAGATAATTATCAGTTCACATGCAATTGTAATGATTAATACATAGAGATCTATTATATATTGGGTCATCGGAAAAACCATGGTGTGTTTTTCTATGCAAAAATGCATCATGACTTTTCTGATGACTCAATATTTTATACATTTTCTGCCAAAGGTAACATTTTGCAAAACCACAGTATAATATTACAACTGGAATATTGATATTGATATATCACCATAGTATAATATCACAACTGGGAATATTCATATTGATAAAGCACCTATTTTATTCACCTATTTTTTATTGATATATCACCTGTTTTATTCCCCAGTTTTACTTGTATTCATTTTTGTAAGTATTAAGTTCTGTCAAATTTTATTGTTCATGTACATTTATATTTCCACAGTCAGGATACTGAATAGTTTCAACTCCACAAGGATTCTTTATCTTGCCTTTGTATAACCATCCACACATAACCTTTCTATTCATATGCCTAATCCCTGGCAGCACTCATCTGTCCTCTACATCTAAAATTTTTAATTTCAAAAATGTTATTAAGATTATATCTTATAGTATGACATGTTTTAGCATTCACTTTATTTTTCTTGAGATGCGTTCATATTGTTTCATGAATCACTGTCTATTAGTATTCCATGGGATGGTAGTGTTCAACTATTCACCTATTACAGAACATTTGACCTGATTCCAGTTTGGAACAACATTATTATGCAGGTGTTTTTGTGAAAATTGGTTTTTATTTCTCTGACATAAACCCTCAAGTGTATAATTCCAAAGTTGCATGGTAATTGCATGTTTAGTTTAAAAGAAACTACCAAATGGTATCCCAGAGTAGCTACCATTTCATATTTCCATTAGCAGTGTATGAATGATCCAGTTTCTCTACAACCTTGCCTGCATTTGGTAGCATTACTGTTTTTCATTTTAGTAATTCTGATAACCGTGTAGTGATTCTTATTGTAGTTTTAGTTGAATTAAATTGGACACTAATGGCTAATGATAACTGAACACATTTTTATTATGCTTATTTGGCATCTATATATCTTCTTTGGTAAAATGTCTCTTGATGTCTCTTGTCGATTTTCTAATAGATTGCATTTTTAAGCTTATTCTATTCATAATAGTGAGTGTATTCATACACGTGAGAGAAAGCACCCTCAAAAGGATCTTGTCATACCATGATCTTTTCTTCCAGCCTACCAGCATGTTAGGCTCTTTAGTAAATGTATTTCATGTCAACTGGGCTGGAGAGTCAAACTGGTAGTCAGCCATGTGGCTTCCATCACTGCTATTCAGTATGCTACTGACTGTATCACTGAGGCTGGGCCGTGGATCTTTTGTTGTTTTTTAGCTGTTGAATTTTCTTTTCCATGATAAAGCATCTGTGTGTGCACTTCAGAGTCAGAGAGAGAAACAGAAATGAGCACCCTTTCCAGGGTCTGGTCTTGCAGTGATTCCCTTTCTCCAGTTCTCTGATCTTAGTCATTTGTGTGC